GCACGTGCGTATGTACACACACACACACACACACACACACACACACACACACGTGCACACACACACACCCCATAGCACTCGAGTGACAGTAACTGTCTCCAGTACTGCACTTTGAAATGTCATTACTCTAAGTTAAATGAGAAATTTCATCCTCTCAAGATGATGTAAGCTCTTGCTAAAGGGATTATCTGAATGAACTTCTGCAGCAGGAGACAAAGTGCAGAGTGAAAAAGGGACGGAGAGAAGCGAAGACGTTTGTGAGGGTGTTGGTTCCCTTCCGTGCCCAAATAATTAATGATAACGGTGACGAGTAGAGGCTTGGAACCAAGGCAAGCTAAAAACATTACACCATTATGGGGGTGGTGAAGAAGGGTGTTCTAATGTTATTTTAGTTTTTTAGGAATAAGGCAGAATTAGTGAAGTGTATATATTAAAAACTGAGTAGGATTCCAAATGAACATAAATGATATCTCCAAAGCAGCTGTGTTGGGGGTATGGATGTTCAAAAGCTATTAATATGTTAGAACGTAAGAAGAGGAAAGTAGAAAACAGAAAATAAGACTTCGTACATGTATGGATGTCTATGTTTGTGTTGTAGTAAAAGCAAGAGGTCAGATGCACCAATTTTACAATAAATGCAACTCTTTTGGTTTTTGGTTTTTCGAGACAGGGTTTCTCTGTGTAGCTTTGGAGCCTGTCCTGGAACTCACTCTGTAGACCAGGCTGGTCTTGAACTCACAGAGATCCGCTTGCCTCTGCCTCCCGAGTGCTGGGATTAAAGGCGTGTGTCACCACTGCCCGACGATAAATGTAACTCTTAATGACTCTAAAGTTGGATTTTCTCTTAATTAGCCATGCACCATTGAAGAAATAATACACTCAGGTTATAATACAATGAGATTTAGAAGTCATAGCTCTGTGAGCTTTATAATCTAATATCGAGGTGAGAAATTGGCATTGAAAAGGACTGTGATTCCTTGCTTCGGGGATTAGAATGTCATTATTCGGGGATGGTTGATGGGTTAGTGACTCCTCGGAAGCAAAGACAGCTGAACATCTATCGAGTTCTTCCTAAGTCATGATCGGGGCCTACAAAGAAAATTAAGGCGCGTCAGAGAGAACAGGTGCCGTGGGTTATGGAAACTGAGGCACGGGTGAATGGGGACGTGTCATGCCGTGGCTGCCAGAAAGAGAAAAGGGTGTGCGGGAGGAGATTCCAAGGTTCAAGAACACAGTCAGCAGGATATGCTGAGTGGAATGAGTATGGAGACGCACGCTGCCTTGGGATGGGGCAGTCAGAGGATGGATGGGGGGCCGGGGGGCGGGGGATAGGGCCTCCTGGTAAGAGGCTGGGGATCGAAATGAAAAGAAAGAAATTAGAGGAACAGGGGTGGATTTCTGTATCAGGAAGTCCAGAACCTGGGGATATCGCTTAGTTGGTGGAGTACTTGCCTATCATACGCAAAGCCCTGGCTTCAACCTCCAAGACGCCATAAAACTGGACATGGTGGTACACAGGATCCTAGGACTCTGGAAGGAGAGGCAGGAGATCAGAAGTTCGAGGTCGGCCGGGCAGTGGTGGCGCACGCCTTTAATCCCAGCGCTCGGGAGGCAGAGGCAGGTGGATCTCTGTGAGTTCGAGGCCAGCCTGGGCTACCAAGTGAGTTCCAGGAAAGGCGCAAAGCTACACAGAGAAACCC